CTTAGTTTTCATTTCCTTTTGTAATAAAACATGGCAAACACAAATTTGTGAAAATAGTTTAAATCTTGCATTTCTTAAGATTTTTAATGTTATGTCTTATTTTGGTGGCTTGTTTTGCATGTACTTGAACAAAGCCTCTTGATGTCTCTTCACATGTGCTCCATTTTGTGTGGTCCACGAGCAACAGGGGCCGCCCTGTCAGTTGCCTAGAGCATGGGACAGGTGCTTAGGGCTCCGAGATGAGGTGGTTCCCTGAAGCAGAAGAGAAGTGCAAGGCCACTTTATAAGCTTAGCGTGGAAAATGTTTGCCATGACAGCTTTCAGAGTGGAAGATTTTATTTTGTTTTATTTGTAGAAATGGGGTCTCACAGTGTTGCCCAGGCTGGTCTTGGACTCCTGGGCTCAAGTCATCTGCCTGCCTTAGCTTCCCAAAGTGTTGGGATTACAGGTGAGAGCCACTGCGCCTGGCTGAAGAGGTTTTGTTTTAAATCTATCAAAGTAAAACAGTTAAAAACCTCAAACAATGAAAGGGTGAGTTGTAGCAGTAGTTGAAATGGGATTATTGCCGTTGTTGTCCAGCAGGTGACTAAAAGCATGAGAAATACTTAGTTTTGAACACGGGTTCTGTCACTGGTAAGTGGTGAGACCTGGGACAGATCCTAATCTTTCTGAGCATCAGTGTCTTCATGGTAAAGCGGGTAAAATAGCCAGGATGGCTGGGAGCGAGACATGTACACGAAGTACTCAGTACTCCTTGAGCTCAGCAGAATGAAGACTGTTACTTCCTGGTGGGTCCCCGAGTGCCCACTCCGGGCTGGGTCTCATGGTGGCCGCCGGCTCCCGCCAGTCAGCCCTCAGACTTTAAGTCACCTTTAGTTTAGCACCTCCTGGTGGAATTCAGAACTGACCCTGCACAGTAGATGGGAACATTCTAGGCTGCCTTTTGGCATCCTGCTTGGTGGGTTCTGCTCTGGGTCGGGATTCTCATTCTTTGCTTTCAGCATGCAGAGCAGCAGCATGTGAACCAGCGGATCGAGAGGCATTTTACTCAAATGGGAGGCTCACTCTTGAATTTCTCCGTGTCCCGAGCAGTCTTCAGCCATGTCCTGTGCATTCTCCTAGGGACTTTGGGAGACACCACTGGATGAGCAGAAGGACCCCGTACAGGGGAAGGCCACGTGGAAAACTAAAGCGTAGTGAGGAGATGGCAAAACAGATGAAAGGCTGAGGGCTGTGGGTCAGAGTGGTTTTGGTTAGGAATGTCAGCTCCTGTCACATATTGTATGTTGGCCTCAGACCTGATTTTGCCATTCACTGGCTGTGTGGCCTTGAGCAGGTTAATAGCTTCTCTGCGTGGGCCGCTGTCTGTGCTGCGAAGATGCTGCAGGGCCTGTCTCATGAGGCTCAGTGACCTGCTTCTCAGTTTCTTGACTATCCTTACAGACACATTTCAATGCACACACATATGTGTCTGTACTTACCTGTGTTTTTTGTCGCTTAGTATTGTTGTGGCACTTTTTCCACATCAGTCCTTAGATAGGGACTTCATTCTCCTTACTGTTCCATAATTTTTAAAAAATGTATTCTTTTGTGCAATTTGAGGTTGATTTAAATTGCATTAGTTGAAAGCATGTAGTTTCTGGCGTTGTTTAAACATTAAAATAAATTACTTTTACAGCACATTATAATATTGATCATTAAAAACAAAACTGGTTTATTGTTTTTTTAAAAATTTTTCCATTATAATGTAAATATCATGATGCATTTTGAACGTCTCTTCAGTAAGCTTTTGGCAGTCGAATGTTCTATCACTTTCTGTTCTTTGAACTTTGCTTTCCGTTTCATTTCCCTCACAGAATTTCATCCTGTTAGCATGGCTGTCGCGTGCCTGGGCAACAGAAACAGGGATGTAAATCGAAGCTGAAAAAGTTTGTGTTCCTAACCATAAGGCCCTAAGGGCTAAAAAAAAAAAACCCCTTTTGGATTGAATTCCTACTACAGTGGTTGAACAAAACAGCGTGACTGTGTCACCCACTTAGAACTAATTCATGATAATAAAATACTGGGAATATATTTTTGAGTAGTTAGATGGGGCTTTTTGGTTAATTATTGTATCGATGGATGATTGATTATGTTTTGACTGCTTAGATGAGAGAGGATTCCACGTTGGTTCTGCTGTTTTTGGTTTTTGTAGCTCTAGGGTACTGGGAAACTCGGGTCACACCAGTAATATGTGGGAGAGGAAGGAGTCCTCAGCTTCCTTGAGTTATGTGCCAGGGGTCTCAGTGGTCCGTCCTCAGAAACTGTTTTTGATGATCTCCATCTGTTTTGTTGAAAGCAAAGGATTGCAACCCAGCTGGCTTACCGAGGGCTTTGTAGTCAGCCGGCGGGGCGCTGGTTTTGTCACCACCATGCCAGTGTTCAGGTGGCCTGTGCTGGCTCCTGGGGTCTGCGCCCTAGGTGGATGGTGCGTCCAGTGTGCTCAGAGCAGAGGTGGTTTTTAGGTGGGAAAAGGGCTTCGTGGAAGGGAACACACACATCGAGATGCTCGCTCTCGGAGAGTCCTCTTTAGGAAACAGGACGTTCTGGAAGGTGGGGATCTGGAGACTGCGTTGCTGAGAGCTGTCTGTATCCATGAGCCCCCCAGAAAGCTGTGGGGCACCCGAGGGGCACATTATTCCAGCTGGGAGCTGGTTGCCTTAGAACATGATTTCCTTCACCTTAATAAGGATCTTCAAGGGAAAAAAGGTATATTTGGTCAAATGACCTTGCCAGATGGTGGCCTGAATACATTTTACTCTGTTAAACTTTCTTCTCAGACTGTTAATGTGCCAGTGGCCACTGTGAAGAGTCATTAAGGGACTGCTGGCCACTCAGCAGCACCGTCCTTCTTCAGTTGCTCATGGGGGGAGAGAGAGAATGAATGTGTGTGTGGACATGCTGTGAGCCTAGGATCCGGAGACACCAGCCTTCCCACATGCTGTGAGCCTAGGGTCCCGAGACAGCAGCCTTCCCACATGCTGTGAGCCTAGGATCCCGAGACACCAGCCTTCCCACATGCTGTGAGCCTAGG